TCCATAGGCGTAATGGTTTTTATACTGTACAAACTGTATTTTCTATCGCCCTACACCAACCCTACACCTAAACTTACCCCTTACAGGAAACTTTCTGCATTTTTAGATTAAAAAAAAAAACTAATTCTGAACGATTTATAAGCCTTTTGAAATATGGGGATACTCAAAATGCCCTCATAAATCACCTTCTCGTTGTAATACCTAACAGAAGTTGCCAAAAGAATAAATTGCTTCTTTATTATTATTATTTATTATTAATAAGTAATCTGACTCGTGATTTGTTTGGCAGATGATGAAAAAGTGTGTGGTTTCAAGCCATATCTACACTTTAACAGATATCCTGTCAAATTTACAGTAAAAAAAATGGCAGCCTAAAATTCACTATCAAAACTGACAATGTTTATAAAGGATGGCATATTGGTGCCTGTGTATTTCAAGAATTAATATAATGTCAAATATCAATCTACTATCAAAATCTGCTTTTTACCTTAAAATGTACTGCTAACAGCCATAATAATATAGGTGGTAAAATATTAAGCCATATGATGATTTACAGTTAGGCCTGCCTATAAAACATGGCCAATATTTATATAGACATGGTCAAACACAAAGATAAAACACCATTAGGGTAAAACACATCACTAAAATAATGCATAAACATGAACCAATTAACAGTTAATGTAACAAAAAACACCAAATGCACATTACTGCTAACAAAAATAAGAAGAAGCAAAACTATTTAAAGAAAATATATTCATGTCATCACACAGGGACTTCTAGAAATGTCATTTTATTGTTTTCACTGTAAATTATATTATATTATTAGTACATAATTTTTATTGGCAAAACCCATGTATTTGACAGTATTTACAGCAAAATGACATCAAATGTAATATTAAAAGTTTTTTTTACATGTGGTAATTAAAATTTACAAACATTTTTTACAGTGTAGGCACCGGAATATTAGAAATGTTGCAAGTTCAATCATCCAGCAAGCACCTAGCAATGCTTTAACATCCTCCCAGAAAACTCTTAACTACCACACAGCAGCAATGTGCTACTCCAGACACCTTAGCAACAGCGTAGCAACACTCTGGCGGTCACTCACAACAGTCTAAAATTGTGGCATATTCTTCAGAAAATGTAAGCATTTAGTTGTATGATGGAGTTCTCTACTGCAGCTTAACTATTCATGTGTGTGAGTGTGTGTGTGTGTGTGTGTGTGTGTGTGTGTGTGTGTGTGTGTG